TCAAGACATCCCTTATTCCTCGTGGAAAGAGGCTTACAGGTATGCCAAAATAGTGCATCCATTATTTCAAAAATTATTTCGAAATAGCGGACGCATTCCTTGGATGCCGAGTAGCTATTTCAGGATACTTCCGGTATCCCAAAATAGCCTTGACTTCTAGATGTATCCTTTGTGACAAATCAATTGCCTGGTTATTGTGGAACCTGAAAACCACCTTTGTTGGAAATTTTGGATGTGGGCAGAAATAAACTTTGTCCTCCTAGAAAACTGTTTAGGGAGATTCTGAGACCAAGGCTGTCAATTCTCCCACTCTCCTTGCTGAGGTAAGTGGAGCTAGAAATGTTAATTTCATAGAAAGGAGGATTACGGAGCAAGTCATGAGAGATTCTAAAGGTGATCGCATTAATTTAGTAAGCAACAGGTTGAGATATTCTATGGGAAACATGTTTTTGCCCCTGTGGAAATAACCTGTCTAACCCTTTTAGAAATTTGATAGTTATGGAGTTGGGGAAAAAGTGATCTATTATCCACTGGAGGGTGCAAAGCTGAAATAGCTACTACATGTATTATAATTGAATTAACTGTCTGACTTTGATGTTTTAGGTGCAACAGATAATCCAAAATGGCATTAATGGAAGCCTGCTTCGGAGATACATGCTTTTGTTGAGACCAGATAGGAAAACACTACCATTTGGCCAGGCAAGTATGCCTAGTTGAAGGCTTTCTGCCTCAGAAGCACATCCTTGAAAGTCTTTCAAGCAAGACATTTCCAGTTGTGTTATCCATAAAGCATCCATGCTGTTAAGTAGGCCTATAGGCTGTAGTGGGAAGACAGTCATGGTCCTGAGAAACCACATCTGGATCCAAGAGGAGAGGCAAAGGAGGTCTCACTAACAATGCTAGTGGGATTGACAACCCATGCTGCATGCTATTAATATGAATCAAAAATGGCTCTGCTTGGTCTTGAACAAAACACTGGATGGAAATGGTATTGGAGGCAAGACATATAGTAACAAGTTCATTCATGGTAGCTGGAGAGTGTCCATCCAAGAACCTGGGCTATGACACCACTCTCTCCACTTCACTGCAGTGGTGGTAAGTGGAGTGATCTGGCCCAGCCTGCTCCGCTCCACTCCCTTGAGCGATACAGAGCTCAGGGGAGTAGAGCAGGCTGGGCCTGGGTTGCTCCTCTTCTCACTGCTACAGTGAGGTGGAGTGACCTGGCTGGGAGATGGGTGGCAGAATGGAGCAGGCTACTGTGTTGCTTTGCTTTCCATTGCTCCTGCCACCTCAGTGAGTGTGGGGGGAGGCCTGACCCTTGCTGCCGCCCTGCATCAGGCCCCCTGGTAATCCCCCAGTAGCATCATTCATGGGAAGGGGCCTTCGGGAAATGGTACAATGAGGGGGAGAGGGTGGAGCAGAAGTGGAAAATGATGGGGTGGGACAGAGCAGGGGCAGTCTTAGAGGAAGGGGTGGAGTAGGGGTGTGGTTGGGGCAGAGCAGAGGCAGGAGAAGGTAGAGTGGGGGGAGGCGAGGCCTGAGGTTGTCCTGCGCCCTGCACACCTACTCCATTACCACAGTGTACACTTCCCTCAGACTTCTGAGGCACATGGCAGCATGTACCTATGTAGAACAATAAGACAGAGTAAACCTCAGAGGGCTACAAGGATGGCTAATGTCATTCTCAGTCCTCTCTGCACTGGTGGATAGACTCTCAGAATGTCTATGATGGAATCTTTTCATTTCTCTGCAACCAACACTCACATTGATCATGGACACTTTGTCCCTGAGTTGGGGAGCACATATGGGAATCCTACAGACTCAAGAGTTGTGGTCCTCACAGGTTCTGAGGACTCATATCTCAGGAACCTCTGTGCTATCTGTCTAGCCTGTTTGGCTATCTGTCCATATATTGTAGGAAAAAATAGTAGTGTTAATGGACAACACAGCAATCATGCTCTATGTAAGCAGAGTTGTATTCATTGTAGCTGTGCCAGGAGGCACTTCTGCTTTGGAAGTGCTACATGACAAGCTCTGTTCACCTCAAAGATCCTTACCTCCCAAAAGACCAAACACATTGGCAGATCACATGAGCAGATCCCTCGCCACTTGTCATGAATGGTCACTACCTCTGGACATGGCAAGTCCATCTTCCAACTATGGGGGACTCCTCAAGTGGATTGGTTTGCCACAAAGCCCCCCCCCCCTTTGACACAGCGCATGCATGGGGCTTTTGCAAGCGCGGGGCCCGGGGCAGCCACCCCGCTCGCCCTGCCCCAAATCCACCGCTGCTCACAGAAGCAGCCAGTCAGAGCTTAACAGACTCAGCTAAAAGGGGCTGCAAGGAGAAGGCCATAGCATCACAGTCCATGGCTGGTAGGGCACCAGAGAGACAAGAAAGGGTGTCTCATTCTGGCCAAAGGCATAACCATAGTTTGTTTCTGGCTGTATGTGCTTTAGGGAGGTTTCAGGGAGAACAAGTGCCTAAAAACCTTAACCCGGGTTAAGGGTAAAGCTGAAGGGGACATAAACCCCAAGAAGAGGACAGGGCTTAGTTAAGAACCAGAACAGAGAGCTGAATTAAAGGGCCCAGAGATGGGACTGAAGACCCTAGTGAGGGTATTGGGGCTGTTTGTTTATTGGACTCAGAAGGGGTTCATTTTGACTTTGTGCCTCAGCTAGAGAGGTGAAGCTACTGAAGACCCTCAAAATGCACCAAGGGGGAGAAAAGCAGTGCAGTACCATGCCCAACAACTAAGACAAGCTCAAGGAGTGGCCTCATTACAAAAGAATACTGACCTCTTTGCTTAGATCCTGTCTTCGGGATTATAATAAAAAGCTCAAATATTGGGCTGGGTTGGTGCAGTGCACAGAACTACAAAGCTGAGATCAGAATGGGGTGGAAGAGGAGAAAGAACTCTTACAGGACCCTGAGTGACAAGGGGCATGTGTAAAAAGTACTGCATATGTTCTTACCAGGTTTCTTTTCTCCAGGGTTTGCCTGACGTGAGCACTGGGATATTTTTTCTTTGGGGATATTGTGGGTTTTTTTTCCTTTGAGGGTATTTTTGCTTTGTTTTTGCCTTGGATGAGGAGCAGTTAGTTGTGTTGGACCTAAGACAAGTAGAGGAGGTGTCTTTTACAAAAGCAAACTTTATATTTTTAAAAAATCTTTTTGACGCCATCATAGACAATAAATATCTTTACAACGATCAGTATTATCTTTCCACCCAGCCTTAGAATACATTCTGATCTGAACTCAAAATAATGACTACATTGTATGCTGAGCCACAATTGTAGGCTTGTATATGCTGGTATTTATATTAAGCTGTCCTGTGGGCAAGTGGAACTGGAAAGTCACCACCTGAGACTGTGGAAGGGCCTGCAACCCTTGTATTTTAAAACAGAGGTGATCATGGTACAACCAGCCATTCACTCCTAGTGCTGTAGGTGATCCTCATGTCCTCCTCTGGTTTTGTCTGTCCAATACCATAGGGGAGGAGGAACTCAAATTCGAACAGCATTTTTGTTTTCCTTTTTGAAGAAAAAATATTCACCCACTGCTTTGTGGCTTGTTTCCTTTAAGACTGATATGAGGCCAAATTCTCTGCTGGTGTCAATAGGTGAAACTCCATTAATGACAACCAGGGGTAAAGGTAACTTAAATGTCTTACAGGAACAGTAGTATTGCATTCCCCCCTTGGAAGAGGTTCAGGGCAGGTGGCTTGGGAGGGGTTGTGATATAACTGTACCTGTAAGCAATGTGAGTGTGGGGTAGAGTGTGGAGGGTCTCAGGACAGGGGGTGGGTATGTGGAAGGAGCAGGAACCAGGGCAGGGGGCTGGCAGTGTGTTGCAGGGTGCCGGAGTTGGGGGGGGGGGGGGGGGGGGAACTGGTCTGGAGTTATGGTGGGGGTCTCAGGGCAGAGAGTGGGGGAGTCTGAGTGTGTGTGTGTGTGTGTGTGTGTGTGTGTGTGTGTGTGTGTGTGTGTGTGTAGCAGTGCAGGGGGAGCTACAGCACCTCTGAGCTCATGGCTTAGTGCCCAAGGCCTTGGCTGCTGGTCCCACATGCCACCCTGCATACCTGGAGTTCTAATGCCCACCCTGTGCCCACCTCCAGGCCTCAGCTGGCTGGGGTGGGGGTTGAACAGGGGCAAGGAGGGATTTCAGCACCCTGCCCACTCTTAGAAATGTTGCAGGCACACTACCCAGGAGCCCAGCTGGGAGCACGCATGCCTCCTACAGTGCACCCCCAACTGACCCCTTTAACATACCTGCTGCTTAGAATGGCGCATGGAGCCACTGCCAGTGCCAACTTGCAGGAGAGCCCTGGGAGCTGGCGAGAGCCCAGTTGGCAGCACGCAGCACACCGCCCCCCCTCCTGCAGCAGAGAGCCTTCTGACTGAAGCAGCACACTAGGGCGCATTGCCTCACTTTCACCTCTATGACAACAGAGCTGTGCGCTTTTGCACCCGCCGAGGTCATAAAGCAATGCTTTAGCCACACTTTAATATGCATTCTTAGCACGTATGCCATCACCGCTCCTTGTTAGAATGAGTATTAACAACTATATGGATTTTGTTTTATGGATCAATCATTATTAGAAATTATTACTCTGCATTAAAGAGTAACCCCTTTCAAAAACGCCATGCTCATAATGGCTGGAGACAGCTAAGGAAGAATACCAAAGTGACTCATCTACAGTATGGGAGAATAGGCTGCATCGTTTCAACCTCAAAAATCAATATTTTTAGATAGAGAAGCTCCAAAAATATATTAAACCAGAGGCTTTTCTTGAAACAATCTTAGCAGGATTAGCTGACACGCCATTAAAGTCAGCAGAGGTTACAGGATCCTTATCTGTAGTACACTCCCACTATCACTGACAAAAAAAAGGAGTCATGCAAGTGTTAACAATCGGGGAAAATGTCTCCAAAAAAACCGTTACTATAACTACAGATAGCCTAAGGTCTGGTCTGTCTTTCGAACTTTGACAGCTATAGCTATGTCAATTAGGATTTTTATTTTATTTTATATTAGTAATTGCTGTAGTGTGGATGCAATTATACCAGTATAAAGGTGATTTACATCAACATAGTTTCTCCCTTCCTATACAGGAATACCACCTTTATCCCTATATAACTGCTTCCTCACTGATGTATAAGATTAATTATCTTGTTTGCTTGAAAAAAAATTAAGATAGGCAAATACTAGAAGGATTTGCTTCTCTGCAGGAATCTAAGCACTGTCTAATTTTAATGTTACGGTGTTAGTTCTATGAAAGTACACAATCTATGAGCACAATGCTTGTTCAAGAGTTGTGTTTCAGTCTCTTACATCCACTCAGGGCTAGAGGCAGGCCATGTCTGGTCAGTAAGATGTCTGGCACTCGAGGTTGTGAAAAAAAACACCTCTGAATGACATAAGTTTTGTCAATATAGGTGGTAGTGTGGGATACTGTGTCAACAAAGATGCTGCCACTTGTTGCAGGTGGATTAATTAAGTCAATAGAAGAGCTCTCTTCTGTCCACTTACAGCAGGGGTGGGGAACCTAAGGCCCGGGAGGCAGATGCAGCCCCTGGCTTGCCTGGATCCAGTCCCCGAGACACGGGGCACCCTCACAGCATTGGGGTGTCCACACTGGTGCTCCAGTCCCGCCACCATTCCCTCATGGGGCTGGAGCACACAAAATCTGCTAGCCTGGGCCCCCCTCTGGTGTGCGAAGGGAATGTGAGGAGTGTCTTTCTCCTTCTGAGTTGGAGGCCACATCAGTGAGGGTTTGGGGAGGTTGTTTGGTTGGGTTTGGGGGTTTTTTTGCTTCTCACTTGTGTGTGGTCCCTGACTGATTTTTCTGTGGCTCAGTGGCCCCACCACACAAAAAAGGTTCCCCACCCATGACTTACAGCTAGAGAGCTTACAGTGAATTGTAGCAGCTGTACTGCTATAAGCTCTGCAGTGTAGCCATCGCCTGAGTCTGCAAGAGATAAAGATGTTCATGCCCCTAGGCTACGTCTACACTGGCCCCTTTTCCGGAAGGGGCATGTAAATTTCACTAGTCGTCGTAGGGAAATCCGCGGGGGATTTAAATATCCCCCGCGGCATTTAAATAAAAATGTCCGCCGCTTTTTTCCGGCTTTTAAAAAAGCCGGAAAAGAGCGTCTAGACTGGCCCCGATCCTCCGGAAAAAGGGCAATTTACATGCCCCTTCCGGAAAAGGGGCCAGTGTAGACGTAGCCTAACTGTGTGTGTGCTGAGAGTGGGGCAGTAATAATTCTTTTATATATTCAAATATGGGTGACTGCTTGGATCTCAAACCTCTTTGAGACTGAAGGATGTGTTCATACCCAATTAATATAACATAACAATTAGACGGGGTTACTCAGAAGTCTTACCCCACACACCTAAAACAAAAGGGGGTTGTGTACCCTATCCAGAAATTTGTACAGAAAAGGCAGAAAGGTCATCAAGTTCAGTCCCCTGCCCTCACAGCAGACCAACCACTGTCTAGACCATCCCTGACAGGTGTCTGTCTAACCTGCTCTTCAATATCTTCAGTGATGGAGATTCCACAACTTCCCTAGACAACTTATTCCAGTGCTAAACCACTCTGACAGTCTTTCCAAATGTCCAACCTAAACCTCCCTTGCTTCAGCTTAAGCCCATTGCTTCTTGTCCTATCCTCAGAGGCCAAGGAGAACAATTTTTCTCCCTCCTACTTGTAATACCCTTTTAGATACTTGAAAACCATTATCATGTCCCCTCTCAGTCTTCTCTTTTCTAAACTAAATAAGCCCAATTCTTTCAGTCTTCCCTCATAGGTCATGTTTTCTAGACCTTTAATCATTTTTGTTGCTCTTTTCTGGACAGGGGTGACCTGATGATGACATCACAGGGCGCCCAGGATGCCTGATGATGATATCAGTCCATTGACAGCCCTGCAGGCGGGGGCGCCGATCGCACATTCCGCCTGGGGCACCAGCTGCCACAGCCCGCCTCGGGCCTCTCCTGTCTCTGGACCTTCTCCAATTTCATCACATCTTTCTTGAAATGTGGTGCCCAGAACTGGACACAATACTCCAATTGAGGCCTAATCAGTGCAGAGTAGAGAAGAAGAATGACTTCTCGTGTCTTGCTCACAACACTGTGAGCAAGGTGTTTTGCTGAGGTGTTGTTTGGGAAAGTGAACACAAAACTCAGAACAGAGAGGAACAGCACCAAAAAGCATGAACACTTAGCCGTAACATTTGAGCACAGTGTGGCCTTGGAAAAAGCTAGAGATGCAGCTTTTGGATCTGCTCACTAAAGGAGCTTTGGGCAGTAAATTAAAAAACTACTTTTTTTGTTCTTGGTTCCTCCTGCATTTGAAAAAGCAGGAGTTTGTACCTTCCTTGTAAATAAATAAGATTGCATCAAAGAATGTACCAGACTCCCATCAATGTTTACTTTCAACTGGAATATCCCTAGTACCCTGAACTTGGATCACCCATTTGGATCTAAAAAGGGTAACAATGCATTGCTGCATCATCACTTCTCTTTTCTTCTGAAGAAAGTGAATATTTGGGTTTTTGTTTCGTTTTCTATTGTCACATTTGCTTTTCTGGTCACTTTGATTTCTCCTCCTAATCTTGTTCAGAGATCACCAGTTGTTTTATTTCTCAAGATGCAATATACAATAATGTAATCAGAAAAGGCAGTGTGAGATAACTGTTCTAGAAAGCAAACACAGGCAGTTTGAAAACAAAAGAACATATTATGCACATGTGAGACTGCAGGGAAAGGTGGACTGAAACATTTTTTATTCTGGGGAAATATAAATAAGATCTGATGGAACAGCTGCTCATCCAAAAGCGTAGAGTTGAAACAAGGCCAAGAGGGTCACTGATTAAAGTGACATCGCCTGCAGAAGAAACACATTTTAACTTTTAAAATGAATTGAATCACAGCATAAGAAGCAGAGATTGGGGACAACATAGTAGAATTTCAAGATACTAGACAAATTTTCAAAGGACTAAAGAAATTGGCAACCCAGTGGAGAATGGGTATAGTGGAAAAAAGATCTGGAACAAGAAATGAAACAGAATGCAAAGACTAAAACTTCTCCGTGCACCTAAGAACCAACTCTTGTTAGATTTACTTCCTATTTATTGCAGTGGGATTCTTGCAGATTTGGCCCTACATGTATTAGGTCCAGTGCACTTCTAGACAGATTAGTAATAATGTCAATGTATAAAGTTTTGTAGAAATGTCTCCATTTGCTCATTTTAATATAAATGAAGCAATGATTCCAGGGCTAGCTGTAAGTCATAGTGCTAAGGGTCTACTCTCTCCTATGAGAGGCCGGGTTTCAGTTTCTGGTCCAATACTGTCACTATACTAACCAGCTCTCAACTTCTTGTAAGGGAGGAGCACTTCCCAGCTGCTCAGCATGAATGGAACAGATCAGCAACTTCCGAAAACATTTGTATTTGTTTTGTGGTAGTGTCTAGAGGCTCAGGGCCCTGTTGTGAGGGGCACTGGATAAGCATATAAAAATGGGCCTGAGCACCATTTGCCTGACTGATGGCAACTGGAGGGTGGGCCAGACCTAATCAGAGACAAAGCCCAACTGGGAAGAACTGAGGTTTATCTCCATCAAGAGCTAGGTGAGCCCAGTAGAAGGGAGGCGATCCAGAGAAGAGATGTTCCCTCTCCCTGAGAAACAGCCCAAAAGAAGACTGAGGGGAAGGGAGAAGTGTAAAAAAGCTTTTCCAGGGGTGAGTTGGAAACCTGGTTGAAGATGGGGGGGGCCCTGACAAGTTGTATCCAGCCTGAGCCCCCGGGTAAAGGGTTGAATGTGCTTAGCCCCTGGAGTGTGGGATTGATCAAGAGTCAGTGACAGCATCTCTGTGATGAAGTGGCAGCCAGCTAGGGAGAAGGCTTTTGTACTATAGGTTTCTGTTGAGTTTCAATAAAGGGATCTGTGGCCTTAGGAGGAATGGACTCTGTAAAACCGTTCAGGCAGAGCGCCAGGACATTCCTGTGGCTAGAGTTGTCTAAAGGACTATGTGGCGGCAAAGCTGCTGCAGCACTACTTGTGGCCTGAAAGTTGCTGGAGTAGTAACTTTGCTCCATAACCCCTGCCCCCAAGCATTTACATGCCAAGCGTCCCACGAGGCAAAAGACGGAGACAACAGATAGAGGGCACACAAGGAAACAAGGTGATAGTGTGCAGCAAGACAAGCAATAGTCACAGCAAAACAGCTGCTCAAGCAGTGATTTTTTTTTTGGTAGGCATCACAGCAGAGGAGAATTTTTAGGACAATTAGGTGGCTGTGAAGTTACTGCAGCAAACGTGACCAAAAATAGCATTCTCTATGCTATAGGTTTACCTCTGTTACAATTATTTAATTTATAAAAATGATCAAATG